TACTGTAAACGTTGGCTACCTATGGTAGTTATTTAAATGATATAGAATCTGTGAATTATGCAGGAGTTGAATGCTACTTCGTTGTCTATAAAACATGAAGTCTTAAGGACACAGAGGAAATACTTTGAGGATCTAAATTACTACGGTAAGATTCACTGCTGACACTTACTGTCTATGATTGCTTGGCCTCAATGAATTCATTTCAGAGTACACGGCTTCTTATTTATAATCTTTCTCCTAGGTTTGAAGCTCAAAGGAGTGGCTGATGCAGCGAAAAATTACCATGTGGTCCTTGAGGAAAATCGAAGACTGTACAATGAAGTGCAAGAATTGAAAGGTAAAACTCTTAGTCAATGTAATTTACTAATTTCTTTGTATTGAACCATTCAAGAAATGACTTTAGTTCTTTCTCTTGCTATCTAGGAAATATCAGAGTATATTGCCGGATTAGACCATTCCTTCCAGGGCAAAACAGTAGACAAACAACTATAGAATACATTGGTGAGAACGGTGAATTGGTGGTTGCGAATCCCTTTAAGCAAGGGAAAGATACGCATCGGTTATTTAAATTCAACAAAGTTTTCGATCAAGCAGCAACTCAAGGTTTAAACGTTTTTCCCTCTTATGTGTTGTTAGTCTTCTCCTCTATAATATATGATATTCATATTTTGAATCTGTTATCTTATGCAGAGGAGGTTTTCCTAGATACTCGACCGTTAATTCGATCCATTCTTGATGGCTATAATGTTTGTATATTTGCCTATGGTCAGACTGGTTCTGGAAAAACTTATACAATGGTAAAATGACAAGCTTGATTTTGTTAATAATATGTTTTCACCAAGGATTATAAGTTTTTCTAACAGACATATTTCTATTTTGCCAACACAGAGTGGGCCAAGCATTACTTCAAAAGAAGACTGGGGTGTCAATTATAGAGCTTTGAATGACTTGTTTCTCTTAACTCAGAGTAGACAAAACTCTGTCATGTATGAAGTTGGTGTTCAAATGGTGGAGATATATAATGAGCAAGTTCGTGATATACTTTCTGATGGTGGTTCTAATCGAAGATATCCTTTTCTAATCTAATATAGTGACTAAATATTTTTTGGAGTAGGTACATTCATGCATTTATATTTGCTGTTCCATAGAGAAATTGGTATTGGTCTAGTGCTATTAGGTTTTACTAATGTTCTGTGGTTGCGTTCAATACAAAATTTCCTTAACTTGCATACATTAGGGATTTGGAACACTGCCTTGCCAAATGGGCTAGCAGTCCCTGATGCAAGCATGCATTGTGTGAGATCAACAGAAGATGTTCTTGAACTGATGAATATTGGACTAATGAACAGAACCGTGGGTGCTACAGCTCTCAATGAAAGGAGCAGTAGATCACACTGGTTTGTATACTTTCTTCCTGAACTTGTATTACCTTCCTTATGTTATTGTCTAATTTTAAGAAGACAATGTTGGCTATCATCTGCAGTGTTCTTTCTGTCCATGTACGTGGTGTTGACGTGGAAACCGATTCAATTTTGCGGGGCAGTTTGCATTTAGTTGACCTTGCAGGAAGTGAGAGGGTTGATCGCTCTGAGGCAACCGGAGAGAGACTTAAGGAAGCTCAACATATAAACAAATCATTATCAGCCCTTGGCGACGTCATCTTTGCTTTAGCGCACAAAAACCCTCATGTTCCGTACAGGAACAGCAAATTGACTCAAGTCCTTCAAAGTTCTTTGGGTAATTATCACTCTTTGAAGACAAGATTGAGATTTGTTTATATTGCATAAAAATGATGTTTGCTTTATGTTGTTGTCTTGTTGATTCCCTTAACTTTTCTTTCTTGTTTCTTAGGTGGACAGGCCAAAACTCTTATGTTTGTCCAAGTCAATCCTGATGGAGATTCTTATGCTGAGACCGTAAGCACTTTGAAATTCGCCGAAAGGGTTTCTGGTGTGGAGTTAGGTGCTGCCAAAAGTAATAAAGAGGGTCGAGATGTAAGACAACTCATGGAACAGGTTTGTATTCTCTATCTCGCTCTATATCTCTCAAGATTTAATTTTGGCTATTGAAAGTCATAGAGAACAAAGGTATTCATATGATATTGCTTGATATAACAGGTATCGAACTTGAAGGATGTAATTGCTAAGAAAGATGAAGAGCTTCAAAATTTCCAGAAGCTAAAAGGTAATAATGCAACATCTCTGAAACGTGGACTAAGCAATTTAAGGTTGGTAGGGCCTTCATCACCTAGAAGACATTCTATTGGAGCTTCACCTAATGCTCGACGAGGAAAGGCCCCTGGTTTATTCGGAAGAGGAACCTCAGATGTTGACAACTGCTCCGAATATAGCAGCAAACATTCTGATTCTGGTTCACAACAATCATCTGACGAACGTAAACATCGAAAGGATTTTCACCAACCATCTAAGTTTGCTGGAGGGGCGAAAGGAATTGATTTTGATGATGAAGATGTTGAACTCGTAGGCCTTGCAGATGCAGATTCTGAGGAAAGATTGAGTGATATCTCTGATAGTTGTCTTTCAATGGGAACAGAAACTGATGGATCCATAAGCAGTGCAGTGGAGTTGACTCTATTCCCTGAAACTGCTAAGCCTCTTGAAATAACAGAACGACCTGAAGCCCAAATGACCTCTGAGAAACCCGAGAAATCAGTGAAAATGGGGAAAACTGAGCCAAAAGACAGGTTAGTATCCTCTACTAGCACACATTAATAGATCAATCTGAATGCATTTACAGATTCTTATCATTGTTTTTGTTTTGGGATTTCAAAAGCAGAACTAATATTCCATCGAAGATTCCAAAGCAGACCTTAAAACCACCAGGCCAAACCAGACCGTCTCGTCTGTCAATTGCCACTAGCTCCTCCTCTAAGGCTTTAACAGGTAATGTCTCTGTCTCTATACATCAGGCTCAAATCACAGCCTACTTAGATTTCTATGAAAGATCATATGAAGTATATACTTTGCTTATACATGAGTCATCTAATCTTCTTGATTTGCCTCAGGTGCTAAAAGACCAACAATTAGCACTTCATCTTCAGCGAAACCACTTAACAGAAGGCGGTGAAGACACAAGATTTATCTTGAGGGCTGGAAGAAGAAGCTTTGTTATGGATTTGATCTGATGGTGTTTGGTAGCTAATTGTGTAACTAAGCATATGATGTCTTATTGTTCTTTTTTTGTTAACCTAAATCAAACAAATACCTTAACTAAGTTTTCATATGTCTTAGACTCTTAGTATTAATTTAATCCTGTCGAAGTAACCTGTGAGGTTTTTCTCTATGATTCTAATCACCTAATGTTGCGCACGATATCACTGGAGTAATACATCACTCTATCTGTATGGGCCACTTATTTTTACCGAAAATGAATTTCTCTATGATTCTAATCAACATACTTTGCCTAATCAAGGTAATAATATCTATCTACATGGAAGGATAGGGAAACTTGAGCAAACCAGAATTATGGATTAACTGGAACCAATCAAGACTACTTGATTCTTCTTTTTCCCTTTTGCTGATTCTTATGGCACTATTGTGGTCGCCCAATTTTGGCCTCAATAGCTTAAGACCTTAAAGAGCAAAATCATTGGGATGTGTTAAAGTTTCATTTCATACTAACTAATTGGTACAACTGAATCTCTCAAAAGCCCTACTCTAACTAACTGTTCTTATTCTTATGTATACATTTAACACATTACACACAAACTTTCACTGGAATGGTAAGGTTTAAATAATTTTGTAAGTATATTGCAAATTTCTCTACGGTTTTCCAAAGAATGTCTTGTATCATTTGATAGATTTGATTCCTATTTCATGAGTAAACTTACAAACTTATGATAACAAGACAATGATCCCAAATCCATGAGTACAGCTGCAAACTTCTCATAACAAGACAATGGGTCCTAAATGACTCCTAATCCATGAGTAAAACATCAAACTTATGAAAACAAGACCATTTCCTTAATCATGAGTAAATCTTCAAACTTACAAAAACTAGTACCAAGCTATTTCAAGCACAGTGATTATAAGATTTGGATTCAATTAAGTTCCCATGCCATAATGTAAACGAGAGAAGACAAGACAAAAAAAGCAGAACACAAGTAGCAAGGCACAAGTGAGTAGGACGTACCATAGAGAAACTAGATCAAGACAGTCACTCTTCACAATAAACACTAAGACAGCATATCAAAAAAAGCTCTTGTCCAATTTACCATTGGATATCATATCAGCAAACCATTTTCATGGTGAATGCATCTCCTCTGAACCCGTTGCTTCGCATCTCCGTCATAAGTTCAGCTGATGCAGCTATTTCACCAGCTCTAAGACATCCTCTGATTAGTAGAATGTATGTGCAGGCATTTGGTACATGTCCATTGTCCTTCATTTTTCGGAACAACGCATTTGCTTCAGAAACTGCACCTATTCCACAGAATCCAGATATCATTATAGTGTATGTTTGAACATGAGGTTCTACACCATCGATGGGGAGACTACAAAAAAATCAATATCAGTTTGGCCTCTCTTCTTTGCTATTTGTATGGTTGGCTCCAAGTTCATGGAGAAGCCGGTCATTTCCAAGCAAAAGACAACATATGGCAGTCGCAGAAACACTTAATCAGAATACTGAAGCTGTAGATATTAAGTGGAATCAATCGCAATTCCATCATCTTATGGAGAGAAATCACAACATCGGGACGATTCATTCTGACGGAAGCAGTAGCAGATTCAGATCTCAAAACCCTAGCCAACATTTTGTTGTTTCGCCTGATTTTGTTTTTTTCCTTGTCGATCTTTCTAAATTCTAACTCTGAGTGAGTGAAGAAGTGGGTGAAGCCCAGAAAACCGGTAATTTTAAAATGAATCATAAATCTCAGCCGGTTCGATCTGAACGATTCTGAAACCGGTTCGTTTTGACCAATGTAGTGGTATAGTGAAAAAAATTAAATTATATTCCAATAATAAAAATTTGGAAGATAAGGAAAAAAAGAAAAGAAGGAGCGTGCAAATAAAAGTCACAGTCGCGACCCAAACTAGCGAAAAGCTTCGATTTCCAGCGATCCTAGAGTTGGATTTTTAGGGTTTGAATCTTGAGAACGAAGATGTATTCGTTATCGATGCAATTCTCGCTTTTGCAATCACCATCTCGACCTTCTTCGTCTTTCTTAGCCAACCATGAACCTAAACTCTCTACTTCTTCCTCCTCTGCGAGCTTCCCCTTGAAGACTTGGAAGAGTACCGGAAGTGGGAATTTGATGGTTCTGAGAGTTAAAACTTATGGTTCTTCTTCTTCTGATTCCTCTCCAGAGTCCAATGGCACTCGGGTAAATTGCAATTGCATTTTCTCGATTGATATGAAGATGAAATTGCATTGCTTAAATCACTCGAATCGAATATTACTAAACCCTAATCTTGACCGTCTCAGCCCAAAAGCAGGAGGGATATTCTACTGGAGTATGTTCAGAATGTGAAGCCTGAGTTCATGGAGATGTTCGTTAAACGTGCCCCTAAACATGTAACTTTACTCTGCTTCATTTTCTCAAAAGACCAATTTTTTTAAAAAAGTTAGAGCTTATGATTGATTCTGCGTTGCTCCTTTGTTAATTGGGGATATTAATTAGGTGGTTGATGCAATGAGACAAACTGTGACAAATATGATTGGAACGCTGCCACCGCAGTTTTTTGCGGTTACTGTCACCTCTGTGAGTGTTTTATGTAAGCGATACGTTTTCACAAGTTGTGTCCTGTGTTTGTTACTTGGGTTTTGTGTGTTGAAACTGCGGACTATGGGTTTATTAGGTTGCTGAGAACCTTGCACAACTGATGATGAGCGTATTGATGACTGGATATATGTTTAGAAATGCTCAGTATCGTCTTGAATTGCAACAAAGTTTGGAGCAGGTTGCTCTTCCTGAACCACGTGATCAAAAGGTGAACATTTTCAGGTTTTTAACTTCTGTTTTTCGCGTGGCCTGTAACCGTGTAAATGCCGATGAGAGTTAGTTTGATGCTTCAATCTTGACATTTCTGTTTCTTCTCTGTCTCCCTCTGATAAGCCTTGTGTTAAGCTAGTGTAGCAGCATTTTAATTACCCCATGTAACTTGTGGTGGATTTTAGCCGCGTTAACAGCTCAACAAATGTTGTTGAGGCGGTTAGTTAGAGAGCTAACTGGTTCAAAGTAAGTTTAGGCAGAATGAGTTGTGGGTTATTCTGGTTAGGTCTCAGATTTTGGTTTGGGCAGTGGTCGAGAGTTAGAGACTTCTCGCGTTCATGCTGTAGTTCTTTGGTGACTTGAATAAAGCTACTTAATATGTGTGTCTTAAGTCTGATCCATCAGATTATATGTGACACTGGTTTTCTATTCTGATTAAGCCAGGGGGGTGAGGAAGACTATGCACCAGGAACTCAAAAGAATGTTTCAGGGGAAGTGATCAGGTGGAATAACATTTCTGGTCCTGAAAAAATTGATGCAAAAAAGTATATCGAGCTTCTAGAAGCAGAGATCGAAGAACTCAACCGTCAAGTGGGGAGAAAATCTGTGAATCAGCAGAACGAAATTTTGGAGTATCTAAAATCTCTCGAACCCCAAAATCTTAAGGCATGAGAATTCATATATTAGTTTTTAATTTTTCTTCATCAATTGTTTCCAATGCTTTTCTCAGTGGGAATACTTTGAATTTGTAGGAGCTTACAAGCACTGCAGGCGAAGATGTTGCCGTGGCCATGAATACATTTGTCAAGCGGCTTCTTGCTGTGTCAGACCCAAATCAAATGAAGGTTCTCTAATAATAACCTCTTCAGCTGAAACTTGTTCTGAGTTGTGCCAGGTGTATATAAATGTGATTGTGAATTGACTGATATCAATGTTTTGGTGATTACACAGACGAATGTGACAGAGACAAGCGCAGCGGACCTTGCAAAATTGTTGTATTGGTTAATGGTAGTTGGATATAGCATTCGCAATATCGAGGTTCGGTTTGATATGGAACGTGTGCTTGGTACTCAACCGAAGCTTGCAGAGCTGCCTCCTGGTGAAATTATTTGAACACTGTAATGAATAAAACCAGGGCTTTTTTTTACCCGAAGAACTCAGATTTCACTTGTCAAGTAATTTTTATTGTAAAATTGATTGAACTTACTTTGAAGAGAAGACAGATTTTGCTTTGAGAGACCTCTTCAGACTCACAAATAGCAGGCAAAGCTTCAACTATGATCATTAGACTTGCATAAGGATATTTAAGGTCTGATCAACAAAAGAATACTCGATTCACGGGTTCCGAATAGATCTAGATATCCACTTTAGTAAATTTCTATGGATCGAATTGTGAGCTAACATGTATTCTGATTTAACTATGTATGTACTCGATTTTGTGAAATGCCAACCTAGTGTGCTTTTTGATATTCATCCAAATGCTGGTCTTTATAGTCTTAAGATTTATAATTCTTAGAACAATCTTAAGATTGAGAAAACTTCTACTACACATAAGACCGATACATCGACAACAAAATGTTATTACAAAAAAAAGAAGATAGATGGTGATTTGGTACGAAAATCAAATTTCTTTTATCTCTGCAAACCATACAATTGTGTTTTTGACAAAACCATTCAAACTAAATACCAAAATCAACAAAAAGGATACCAAAATCAATTCGGCTACTACAAAAGGATGATTCTTTGTGACAGACACTTGATCATCGAATACCACCCAAAGACTTTAGAGCACGTTCAATACAATTTTTCTCTCTCCCCTATGATTCCCTAATTAACAATGCTTAAATACACAAAGGAAATAACTTAACTAGTATGGAACGTGAATGAGTACTGCGAGACAATCCCACTAATATAGGAGAACACATGATGCCATATCTCCATTCAATCTTTCACCAAGTCAAAGTTGGTTTACTCTGGTACGGTAATGACCTTCTCATCCCCCAAAATGGAGAGAACAAAAATATAAACCGATAGTTACAATCCTAATTACATCACTAGATTTGATCATAAACCCATTAGTAAACCTATCATGATTGCAATAAAGGTTCTCCCAAATATATCATCTCCTGTAAAACCAAAATTCAAAGCCATATCACATAACCATAGGGTGGGGAAAGGAAAAAACGGACCAGACCAGATATTATATACTGCTACTCACCTTTTGTTGTAACGCCAAAACTCGTTAGGTTTGGTTGCAAAGCAGAGATGTCATACCTCAGAAGACATTTAGGAAAGTAGATCCGAGCCCAACGAGATTGGCTGCAACACTCGGAGAATTTTTCGACTACAAGCCCCAAGCAAACGGTGCAGTTACTTGGATCAAGATCAGGACTACACTGGGCCATTGCCTCTAAATCATACGAACCTTCCAGTTGAGTCACATGTTCTTGATCTTCCACAAAATATGGAACCGGTGACGAAGAAGACGAGGATGCTCTGAAGACAAGCTTGTCTATTTTTCCAGGAAGTGTTTTATTAAAAAAATGAGGAGAATTCAAAGAATCATTCCGATAGTAACTAGAGGATGTAGGTGCATCCTCTACGAGAGAGAAGAAAGAAACGTCCGAGTACCGAACCATACACTCGTCAGAGAACATGAAAGATGTGTCATGAGAATCGCATGATTTATCCATTCCTAAAGTCGCAGAATGGACACAGTTTGAACAAGATGTTTTGCTTATGTTTCCTATGCATAGGAACATGCCATAGACTGTATTTGGGCTAAGACCGGCCGTGGCATTGAAGTAATAGCTTCCGAGGGAGGAACGGTTGCGAAGAGTTGAGAGGACGGTGTTGCGGTTTGATTGATAAGTGTCGGGTAATTGGTTGCAATCGGTTAGATTTTGAGAAGGTTGGGACATGGCCCCAAGAGAGAACAAGAAGAAGCAAAACAGAGCAACATCAATGGTTCTTGTCATTTTTCTTATGACTTATGACAAGGAATAAACCAGAGCACATAGATTTATATAATGAAACAGTTACCTTTTTTTATTTTAATTCTTTCAAATCTGCAATGTCCACACATAACGTGGTAGACAAATTCAGAGGTAGAATATGTATATAACTATTATTATTTTTAGTTGAATTTCATTTTCTTGTATATATACAAACGTTGAATATCTTTGCAGGTCCATTAAATAAGAAGATGTAAGACTAAGCACAAGTCTTGTATCATTTTTTATTTTTTTTGGCAAATGAAGATATTCTGAGTTTTACACCCAGCAAAGTGGTAGTGACTCAGCATGATATAGGAGTCACACCAGGGATCGAGTAACGATATTGGTACCCCCGAGTGAGGAGGAAAAGTGTTTCCTCTCGACTTCCATCGAGTGTCGATGGTTGGCTGACATTGAAGATATTCTGAGTTTTAGAACCATAATGTTTTTGTTTTTTGGACCACAGACAAAAGAAAATCCAACGGCTGAGAAAAGATTAATTCATAAATTTAAGAAAAAACTATTATTACTTTATTAGGGAACTCATTAATGAGAGATATAGGTGTTTTAGGTTTTTTAACTTCTTTTTTTTCCCGTCAGCAAGGTGTTTTAGGTATCTTGAGTTTTAGATTTGTAAGTAAAGTTACAATTTTATGGAGAAGATAACAAATAGAAACCTTTAAAGTAAAAATATGGACATGCATCAAACTCCATTTTCTTATTAACTTTCTAATCAATCCATACAAACAGAATCAAACCTAATTTTTTTTTGGGGGAAAATATTAACATTTTTTTGTGAACATAACACACATCACACAGATTAAACGAATTTTATTTCTTTCACAAATCATTATTTATAATCAATCCATAAATCATCACATTTGTTCACAAATCCACAAGTGGCAACACCTAAGCTGCCATTTTAAAAGCAATCCTTGCAAATATTTAGTTTCCTGCCACAAAAAAAAAAACACAAATTAGAGCAACCGTCCCTATCAATAGTACAGAATGTGGGAAACTTAGGAATGATTATATGATTTAAAGTTCTAAACTATACGTACAAAATCATATATCTTTGTTTTCTAAAAATCGACGAATTAAGTGTTCAGCGGCGGAGGCGGTTGCATAAGAGGAGGCGGCGATTGAGGCGGCAGAGACAGAGGAGGCGGAGACAACGGAGATAGAGGAGGCAGAGACGATGGAGACGGTGCTGGTGATGGCAAAACAAAGGTTCTATACCTCAAAATACATTTAGGAGTGAAAATAAGAGCCGAACTTGGTATACCGCAACAAGTTGAAACTGTTGCATACGCAAATCTGAGGCAAATGGTACAGTTTGATGGATCAAGATCAGGACTACACTGAATCATTGACACTAAATCATATGAACCCTCTAACTGAGTCACACGTTCTTGATCCTCCACGAAATATGGAATCAAAGTTGACGAAGAGACGTTAGGAATCAGTTGGTCCAATTTATTGGATAGGGTTTGGTTAAACCGGTTTGAGTTTGGAGCAGAACGAAGAGAGTAAAGAACGATGACTGGTTTACTTTCAAATTCGGAGAAGAAGTAAACATTTGAGTATCGAACCATACACTCTTGGTAGTATATGAACGCTCTTTTGTTAAGAGTACAGTTTGTAGCGATCTCGATTGTTGCGGTTTGGACACAGTCGGAGCAAGTTGTTGTGTTGATGTCTCCTCTACAGAGGAACATGCCATAGACTGTGTCGGGGCTAAGACCGATTGTGGCATTTAAATAGTGTACGAGAGGGGAAGACAAGCTGAGAGCGGTGAGTAGGATGTTGCGGTTTGTTTCGTATGAACTGGTTTGTGTGAAGTTGTCGGAAGGATTGCAGAAAGTGTGCATGTGTTGAGGTTGGGACAGGGTTTGGTGAGAGAACAACGAAAAGAAAAAGAAATAAAACAGAGGAGTGAGTGTAATGATGATTCTTGCCATTTTGTTCTTTGTTGTTTAACAAAACAGAGGAGATAGATAATTTATAATAGAAAGAAAAGAGCTATTTTTGTTGATCTATTCAAGATATTATCTTAATAATGATATGGTATACCAATTCAGAGGAAGAATATGTAAAACTATCATTTAGTAAGACAAAATCATAATAAGGTCGACGCAAAATAGAATATAATGTTTATCTTAGAGCAAAACAGAGACTTAGTCCTAAAAATTTATGTCAAAAACCTTAGGAAGTATGAAAGGTTGTTATCTATATATATATATATATATATATATATATATATATATATATATCATTGATATGGCTCTAAGGCCTTTATATAGTTTTTACAAGATGACCTAATTGCTAAAAACTTATACACAACAAGAAAAGGAGATATGCCTTTATTCAAGTTGGAGTGTGAAGATCACAAACGTCCAATTTGAAAAGAAATTGCTCAAAATGACGTCCAAGACCCTGGCCACCGGTTCGTTCGTACATAGGCACTGGCAATTGTTCCGTTTATATATAACTTTATCAAGAATAAAATGAGTCGGGTTATTTTATATTTTTGTCACCGTAATAATTTGGAAGATAGAGAACAAAATGATAGGGTTAAAGTGGAGGACAGAGAACAAGGTGATAGGCTTGAAGTGCTAGGATTATTACTTGAGCAACAAGAACCATAAGTAACTTGGACAGGAGCTTGCGCTCGAATTTAGATGGTGTAGGACAGTAGGAGCAGCAGCAAGTGCACCATAATTATCCAATATACAATACCCAAATTCTGAATATATATATATATATATATATATATATATATATATATATATATATATATATATCTATCTATATTATTAATTGGGAAACATTGGATAATAAATAACCTTATAAAGGGTAAAGAATTACAAAAAATGTCATTGGTTTTTAATGTTTTTAAATAACTTCATTAAGGGTACAATAGTAATCACAAAATTAATATATTTAAATAAAAAATAGTTTAATTCTTTTAAATACTTATTAATTTCCAAAAAAATAAACTAATTTTCTCTCTCTTATTAATTATAAACGAAAATTTGAAATTAATTTTTTAAAAATTGTTAACCAATAGGAATTGAAAAACTAAGATTTGATATCCAACTAAGATTTTTTCTAAACCAATCCTAATAGACTATTCTATATCAAAAATAAAAATAAAAATAATATCATTTTAATTCAAAATTAAAAAAAAACTATCATTTAAAAAGATTTATCAATGGAGGATTTTAAGATTGAATTTGAAATTTGGTAAAAAAATTAAATGCAAATATTTTAATATTCAGTTTTGTTATAATATTTTTATTACAAATTTTGAAATATAAAACGAAATTTTATTTCATAATTTCTAAAAAACCATATTAAATATTAACAAATATTTATTTTTACTATGAAATAAACTCAAATAATAATAAATTTTAAGGAATTATCATAATGGTTTTCGTTTAGAGCAATTTTCGAAAAAATCTAAACAATAGAATGTACATATTAATTTTGAGATATTTTGTGTTTTATTTTTTTCTTTTCAACTCAGATCTTCCTTAAATAATAACTAGATGCAAATATTATTTAAGGAAGATTTTAAGATTGAATTTGAAATTTGGTAAAAAAATTAAATGCAAATATTTTAATATTCAGTTTTGTTATAATATTTTTATTACAAATTTTGAAATATAAAACGAAATTTTATTTCATAATTTCTAAAAAACCATATTAAATATTAACAAATATTTATTTTTACTATGAAATAAACTCAAATAATAATAAATTTTAAGTAATTATCATAATGGTTTTCGTTTAGAGCAATTTTTGAAAAAATCTAAATAATAGAATGTACATATTAATTTTGAAATATTTTGTGTTTTATTTTTTTCTTTTCAACTCAGATCTTCCTTAAATAAATCCATAATATATTGCACACAGTTTTTGAAATTATGTAAACTAATTATATATTTTGCATTCAACACAAATTATGCAGCAATAGCATATCCCTTTTATAGATGTGTCTAAAACTTTTATTTTTAGTCCAAATATTGAACTAATTATGATTAAACAATGAAAAGAAGAATATGCAAAATTTAGCTAAGGAAAGAAACATTAATAAATTTGTTAAAATATTTGTAACTTTAACATCATACCTATTAATCCGCAAAACTCACAGTATGTATTTTATGGTATTTTAAAGTAAGCAAACAATAATTTGGAACATGGTTTTAATGGAATGAAATGAGAATAAGAATTACGAGACGGGATGGCAGGGGAACATAAATTAAAAATCAAACTTAATACTCAACTGGTATGAGTTTGTGTTATGAGCACTATATAAAATAAATTTGTTTACACACATAACCTTATACGTACGTTTTTAGTTACAATTTATGACAGATACGGGACCGTAATATTTTTATTTCACGTATACGAGACGGGTTATGGGACGAAAAATTTATGACATATACAAGACGGGATAGGTTTCCTGTTCCAAAATAGTTACGCCTAGCTAATATACATGAAATAATCCAAACTAAACCGAATATGTATCCTATTTAACACATGTATTCAAACTGTTATAAATGTTTTGAATAGTTTAGAAAATAAAAACGTAACATCACTTAACTTTTGCAACTAAATAATATCTTAATTTTATATTAAATACAATTTCACACGTACGTGTAGGTCCGAATCTTAAAATATAACTATGCACTAACATAACTAAATTTCGTTCATTACCTAACTTTATAATATCTATATTATTACAAAGTTCACTAACACAACAAAATATTTTATATTTTTAAAATCTATATAACAATTTCTAAAAAAAATATCTCTGCACGTATATGTGGATCTAGATCTAATACACTAAAATATACATCATAAAAACAATAAAATAATCTATATTGTATGAAAATTTGTAAGAAATGTTTTTGAAATATGAAACCCCGCACGTACGTGCGGGTCAGGATCTAGTATATATATATATGTGAATCTCCTTAATCTTTTTTTCTTATTCGTTT